CGGTTGGCTGGTGCGTGGTTGGCTTGTCAGCAGTGTTCCAGGGTCAAATTTGACTCAAATTTAATTCAAATTCGATTCGATTCATATACAAAGGTAGACGTTGGCTGCTCACGAACTAGAGCCAAGCTTGGTTGGTTGGTTAGTTGGTTGGTTGGTAGTCGGGGAAGGACAGCCTATAATCGGGCGTTTAATTTAGGGCACTAGAGTAGTGTAGACTCTACACTACACTACGTTTAATTTAGGGCACTAGAGTAGTGTAGACTCTACACTGCACTACGTTTAATTTAGGGCACTAGAGTAGTGTAGACTCTACACTGCACTACGTTTAATTTAGGGCACTAGAGTAGTGTAGACTAGTCGACTCTACACTACACTACGTTTAATTTAGGGCACTAGAGTAGTGTAGACTCTACACTACACTACGTTTAGTTTAGGGCACTAGAGTAGTGTAGACTCTACACTGCACTACGTTTAATTTAGGGCACTAGAGTAGTGTAGACTCTACACTGCACTACGTTTAATTTAGGGCACTAGAGTAGTGTAGACTCTACACTACACTGCGTTTAATTTAGGGCACTAGAGTAGTGTAGACTCTGCACTACTCTACGTTTAATTTAGGGCACTAGAGTAGTCAGCTCTACACTACTCTACGTTTAATTTAGGGCACTAGAGTAGTCAGCTCTACACTACTCTACGTTTAATTTAGGGCACTAGAGTAGTCAGCTCTACACTACTCTACGTTTAATTTAGGGCACTAGAGTAGTGTAGACTCTACACTACACTACGTTTCGATTCGACACTACTCTACACTGTAGAATCTGGGAAAGGGAGTCAATACTATTCAATATACTAGTAGTGTTTATGAATTTGTTCTTGATGCTTCGTTTATGGTTATAGTTTATACATTTCTGTTCGATTTCTTTATATATACTTTTGCTTGTATTTCTGATGTTATAGCGAAGGTGTTGTCCATTATCCATTGATATGAATATATGGATATATTACAATGTAAGTGACACTTGCAATGGTCTTTTGAGGTTGCGTTTATCCATTGATCGAGAGTAGGAAAAAAAGAGTCGGTGTGTTGTGTTGTGTCTACCAATGACAGACGAAGGAAACTGGACCAACTACTCAAAGGAAAAAAGTGCATCAACAGCGAGTACAATTTGACCTTGACCCAATCACCTCTGACCTTTAAGATCTATTTGGTTTGACCTTGTAAACTGTCGAGGTCACCTCAGCGACCCTTAAGCGCAAATAAACCGCATTAAGATGGACCCCGTAACCCTGATATTTGACCTTGAAATCTTTATCAAAACGACCTAAAAACTTCACACGTATCTTATAGCTTACAGACCTCAGTGAATTAAGTACATTTTTCTACATGGAAAATTTCTCCATACATGCTAGACCATAGGCGTGAGCAAGTGGCGATACGTTAGGTCACAAGTTATTTTTATGGATGACATCAGCGCGCGCATTAATTTTCGCCTGATTTTGGAAAGAAAAAAAAAAGAAATTTTGTTTCCCTCTGACAGTGGTCAACATGCAGAAATGGGCAAAGATGTCTGTTGCCATGCCGGAACGTGGATGGCAGATAAATATGAAGAGAGGAGACAAGGAAAGGCTCTGATTTAATGTTTTGTTTTTTACTTTGATTCAGTGATATGTGATGCTGGCTGTGTATATGTGATGTTCCCACTGAATCAAACCATTTGTACAATGCTACCACGAAAGTTCATCTGTGTTGGTACATTTGTACAATGATTGAGTCAAAATTTGAAAATGAAAATGTAGCAACCTTGTTTTTTTCGCCCGCTCGCATTAGATTTGTAGTCTGCGGAGGATGTCATCCATAAAATTTACTTGCTGTGGCCTTACATTGAACTCGAATAACCTGGATCACCTGGACCTCATTTAAGAGCATTAACCGCCCTTGTAGCCTCTATAATCCCTAAATACCCCGTGGATTCGGAAGGTTGTTATAAATGGTCAAGTAGAATTACACGGGTAACAGGATACATTAGATACGGTATCAAATCTGGGGGAGGAACGAAGAAATGTGAACATCCCCATATATGTAATAATGATAATAATAATAATGCGGGTTTTATTTGAAACACCTCACAGCCCGAAGGCTGAATTACATGTCCCGTACATTGTATAAAAACATATTGTGACAATAAAATCATTACATTTTTACAATACAACACTAAAAGTTAAAATACCAACCTCATTAAAAGTACTAGATTAAAATCAAATATATAACGGCATGTACATTACAGGATTACATTACAGAGTGCTGTTTAAAAGCTGGACGAGGTAAGGCAACGGGCTTTTCGCATATCTTGCTGTGCGTGCTGGCAATTGGTCTAGTTTTTTGTTCTGTCTTGTTTCCCTCCCACTGATCTCTCCCCGAAGTCGAGGAAACCAATGTCTGTACTGTTCAGACTTGTACAGCTTCTGGGCAAACTTCAGGCACAGAGAGACACGTCGGTCTTCGAGTTTCTGGAGTTGTAGTGCTTCACATGCTGCAGAGTAACTGTGAAAGGTGTTGCCGAGGATGATCTTAGTTGCCCGCACTTGGATGTTCTCTATCTTCCTCCGTTGACTGGACGTTAAGCCTGGGTGCCACAGGGGTGTTGCATACTCCAGGACCGGCCGTACGAAACTCGTGTAAACAGTAACCAAGTCGTGTGTTGGTAGGTGAAACTGCCTCAGCCTACATAGGAGATACAGCCTTTGGTTCCCCTTTTTACACATTTCCAGGACGTGCATGTCCCACTTCAGATCTGACTGAAAGGTTACTCCTAAGCACTTGGCGATACTGACAACTTCAAGTTCAAATACACAGCAGGTATTCGAATATCAAAGATAGTTTCATAAAATGTCCACGCATTTTCGCATGTTGTAACTTCTACATAGTGTTAACGAGTGGATCAAGTCGACTCCATGCTAGTGCTGTGTACCTAAACCCACGTTCAGGTCCAGGTCCGGATTCAAGTCCAGAGGTTTCCCCCAGAGCATATACGAAATACAAAAGGGACTACCGCAAAATATTGTAGCGAGCACTGCACTACCAGGGTTTAGAAGCAAGGTAAGTTGCTTGCGGGGCACGTCTGGGCAAAACTGTGGCCACATAATTTACGGAGGCCAACACTTGACGATGCCCAATGGCAATGTTTTTTTTTTACATTTTTGCAGCACAAATTTTTGACTATAGAAGTAGATCAGAACAAAAAGGGGGATGTGACATGATTTTGTTTGTAAGACCGGAACTAGCTTCAGATGTTCAGTTTTTTTTGGACTTGAACATAAACATTTTTACAAGTCCGGATCTAGTTCCAGCGAACTGGTACACAGCACTACTCTTTTTTTAGAAGGAAAAATCTGGCTTGATCGGCTTCATCTGTGTTTTTGTACCTTGTCTTTGGAGACTTATAATCGTCCTCAATAACTCCAAAGACTTCCCCGCCCCTTCAAGGCATTCCCTGACCCTTAAACACCAGCGTCTTGAACAGTTCCTTGTCTCTGTTGCTTCTTACTTTCGCCTGGTCCTCATTAGTACGGAAAAGGGGACACAGAGGTCAGAGTGTCATGTGGAGTCAAAAACAAATTTTCAGCCGAATGCAAAAAAACTCCGAAGCATGCATGCGCACATTCGAATGGTTAAAATAGAAATGTCATCATCATAGAAATATGCAAAGGTCTAAGTGTATTTTTTAAAGCTTAATGATTTAGAATGAGCATCAGAATTCTTAATATGATAATTACTTTAAAGCCATGTCTGTTTTTACTTGGACTTGATAGCGGAATTTTTTAATTACTATTTCAGTTCATGACTTACACATGTAGATTGTAACGGATCGATGCGCCACCTAGCGGTTTCTTAATGGACTACCTTATCAAGAAAGGAGTTTTTCAAAATCAATGTTCTACGTGTAACGTTACAGATATGACGTCGACAGATGTAAATCAACTTGAAGAAAAAAATCATACATGTAGTACCATGTAGCACTTAGTGTTGTTGAAAATCCCATTTATTGAAAGTTATATACGTTTGCATTTCTTTTTCTTACCACGTAGCCAGACATAATTTGCGTGGAGCGACTCTCATGTTCGCACGCACTTAAGGCCAAACCTCCTTAATTTTATGGATGATATCCACGCGCGCATTGATTTTCGCCTGTTCTCAAAAAAAAAAAGAATCACGTCCTCCGAGGCTCTGGCCTGGCCTAGGCCTGGGTAGTCCATAGTAGTTAGCGACAATACGGAGCCTGTGGTAACTCTGGAGGACGGCACCCAGGCTACCGACGAAGCTGCACGACTCAAGAAGTCAGCACATACCTACAGTGCCGATTCATAAACTCCTCAAAAAGTCAGCATGTGCCGGCTTGTCGAATATGTCGCTATATACTGCCGTAAATTCACAATACCAGCTTTGTATTCCTGTGGTTTAGTAGCATTTTTATCATTGGCTGGAATTTTTTTTAATTCGCCCGCGCGCACTAGTTTGGGGGACTTAAGAGGATGTCATCCATAAAATAAGGCTGTGTGGCCTTACTGTCACACACCGAATTCTAACGTTTTCCCAGATGTTGATATTCCGTGGGAAAAATCTCTTAACCTGACAGAAACATGTCAAACTCATCACAAGAAACAACAAAAGACTTCTCTGTCCCTCTCCACACACTGGCCGCAAACTAGCCTGGTATCCAGTCTGATTCGTGGTCGGGGCCGCAAGAGCTCTGTCCCGACCGCCTCACATAGGTTTCCCGGTGTGTATTTCACGAGAGATTGATTAGCCCTCCACGAAATCCCCAAACATACTGTCTCTTATTCTCCTCTGCGTAACACTCCTACCGGGACGGCCTGTTGCACTGGGCGGGGGAAGCTACTAGAGCCCCCGAAGGCACAACCTGCCTGAACACCCCAATACCCCCAATCACGTAAGACTGGATACCAGGCTAGCCGCAAACAAATAAGACGCCGCCGCCATCTTTAAATTCGATACTCTCCCCTTTTTATTCGTTTGTAACATTGTACCTTTTCTGGACATGTAATACAGTAGCGGATACGTCACTTGACGACCATACCTACAGTATACAAACCACCTGTTATCCTATACCGTCCCTAACACCTACACAGGGGGCCACTAGCGTACCACCATCTTGTGTTTTCAAACGGTTGTCGGTAGTGTACATCTTCTTGGCTTTTAGCGACTGCAAAGACGCTCTGTAAGAGAACGTATGTCCATTGTAATTCGGTTTGCGTGACCACGACCTATCAGAGAGAGACATGTCGACATGACCTGTAAATACGTGGTACGTTTAACTCTCAGTAAATAGCGTTGTACTACATAGCAACTTGGAGCTAAACTTCGTAGACAACTGCGAGACTCAGTACAGCACCTGAAGGAAGATGCCTCCTAAGAAGAAGAAGGGAAAGGGGAAGAAGAAGAAGGGGAGTGCCAAGGGGTCGGCGGCGGGTTCCCGAGCGGCCTCGGCGGTGGATGAAGGGCCTGTGTCCGAGGCCAGGAAGGAGTTCTACCTGATACAGATCAAAGATCTGGAGAGGAAGAGAGAAAGGTGAGACCAAACGTCCACGATTCGTTAGGTTTCAATTTGCTACTTTTCATTAAAATTGTGTGGCGTAACGGCAGAGCATTCGGCTCAGAACCAAGAGGTGCCGAGTTCGAATCCTGCCAAGTCACACCAACCTTGTGCCTTTAGGAAAGGCACTTAACACGACTTTCCTCACTTCGCTCAGGTGAAATGAGTATGCCAGAATGATCATTATCATGATCATGGGCATTAAAGGAAAACCAAACCAAACCAAATAAAACATGCATGTTTAAGGGAAATTTTAAAGCAAACCGTAACAGTAAGTTAAATCGGGATTTCTGCTACTTGAAGCGAACGAAGTGCTCGAGACTTTACCCTAGTACAGGGAAACATACGTGTGTGATGATGATTTTTTTACATCTCTGAATTAGTGGAAGGGTGCTCGATTTAACAACTTTTAAGGATAACCATATAGGATACAGATGTAAATGTACCTTGACTTATAACATAATATAGGAGAGGGAATGGTCCTAGGATGAAGAGTAAAAACATGTCTATCTACGAGTACATGTATTATTGTCATAATTGCATTGTCACTTCGATTATGCCCCCCTCCCCCTAATTTAGGCTATATTGTGATTCTTTATTGACACAACAAAAAAGTACAGAGACGTTTGTATGGTCTTCTACAACTTAACTAAAGATCTAACAAAGCTAAATACATGTGTGGATAACGTCATCTTACGTACAGAGTATATGTATGATGTAACGATAAAGGTCAACTATTCTCTAACATGTGTTCTCTAAGATCGAAACATTCTTTAATGTATTTTCCTATTTGAACACTGTATTGGTTATCTCCCCTGAGAATGTAGTTGCATTTATCTATAGCATCTAACGTATTGAAATCAATTGAACAAGCGGAAAGAAAGGTGAACGGCTATATACATGAGCGTGTGGGGGGGGGGCATGTTTTCCAGTGCTGTCTACAACCCTGGGTTTTTCATTCTTTTTTATTATTTTACTTATTTTATTTTATTTCAAATAGAATACAGTGATGATAAAAAAACATACATACGAGTAAAGGTAAAGACGTATAAAGACAAAAATCTAAAAAAAATACAGTTGACACGGTTTGCGAACATTACGTTTCTAATTAACCAACTTAGCATGAAACTTTCCCCATACGCTTTTTAACCGTTTCACCATTTTGAGCAATGATGTACTCCGTCTTTTCCACTCTTAGACAACAGCAGAAGGCTCAGGAGCTGGAAGATGCCAACAAGGAGTTCAAGGACCAGTATGACCAGATGTCGAAGGACAAGCACGACATCGTCACGTTTCTGAAGAGGACTCTCCAGGAGCGGATAGACGAGGTGGCCGACCTCACGGACAGGTAACTCCGCTTCTCTTCTTCGCAACTTTTCGTATAGTACTTTGAATGTTTTGTATGTTCTCAGTTTGTTGCCTTGATTTTCTCTTTGTCCATGTGCTTGTAGTGCTGAGTTGAATTTCTGGATGAATATATCTTTTAATCTTTGTCTTAGTTCATGCAGATGGAATGGTTTGTTAATATACTCGTGTGTATATAGGCAGGCATAGCCGGACTCCTCTAAAATTGTCTTCATGTTCAACAACCAACAGGGTACTTTACTTCTAACAAGATCTTTTTGTACTATGTAAGCTTCATACTGAAGGCTTTCAACGGGAACATTTCTAACTAATCTATAATAATATCTGTACATTCTACAATACGCTATATAATTACTTGGTTGACTAGATGTTCCGTTGTTGTCCAGGTTATCGGCTCTTCAACAGGATAAGGACCAGGAGAAGGAGGCGTATGAAGAAACCATCAAGTCTATGAAGGCAGAGTTCCAGGAGACCAAAGACAACCTCAGCACGGAGAACATGAACCTACGTAAGCATCACCCCCCCCCTCTTCTAATAATTAGATTACCACATAACAGCGAACGTACTTTTTCTTTTACTTCAAGGTACAGAAGTATTATTTTGGGTGGCTGGGCTGTGGGTCTGTGTATCTTTTTGTCCGGACAGAGTAATTTTACTATCATTACTACTACTACTACTAATAATAATAATAATAATAATAATACTACAAATTTTACTGTCATTACTACTACTACTGCTACTACTACTTCTACTACTAGTAATTTTACTGTCATTACTACTACTACTACTACTACTACTACTACTAATGTTACTATCATTACTACTACTACATTGTACTACTACAAATTTTACTGTCATTACTACTACTACTACTACTCTACTACTACTACTACTACTATTGATTTTACTATCAGTACTACTACTACTAATAATAATAATAATGATAATTTTACTATCATTACCACTACTACTACTACTACTACTACTACTACTACTACTATACTACTACTACTACTACTACTATTAATTTTATTATCATTTTCTACCCCACAGAACGAGCGTTAGCGGGTCTGGAGGAGTTTAAGATCCAGAGAGAAGACTTGATGCGGAAGTTCGCTAACCTGGAGGAGGATTCGCGGAAACTTCAAGATGAGCATCAGGAACAGATGTACAAACTGGAGCGGAAGGCGGTGGTGGACAAGGACAGGTCGGGACACATGACAGTAGTATCACCTTGAGGCCTATCATAAAGTTAACGTATCAATGATTTTGTACGTATGCGTTGGTCAAAAGTGTGTCGACCAACAAGTAGACAAGGTTGTTTTGTTCTTCATCGAATAATGATATGTTTTTTTTTAATTACTTCCCGATCACTAATCGCAAGTGCCGTGAGAAAGACGAATGGAGCATGAATAAAAAAAATTGACGACAATCACTAGATCTCATTAAATTGAATCTTTACACGCATGCCATAGTCTGATTTTTTTTTGACGACGTCTCTGGGAGGAGCCTAATGGCACAGTATTGTGTGTAATTTGCAAGAATTCTAGGAATCGTGCAGGAATTGAATGTCCACAGGAATGTCTCCCAGCTCTGTTGACATGCCCACATTCCTGGAAACCCTTGGGATAACCTGTCTGCCTCCCACCCCCCGTGCCCTACTTTCTGTCACCCCGGGGCTCGTTCCCTATACACTCAGGGGAGGGTAGGGTACCAAGACGTCCTCAAAATCATGAAATCATGGCAGTGCCATGCAAACAATAGCCCTAACAGCAACCACCGTCGCCATGACAATGTATGTTTTCTTTGCCAGTCTTGTTTCGAATTCGTTGTTTGTTGTTGACTAGGTTGAAGAAGGAGATGGTTCTGAAAGTGAACCAAGTCGCGGCGGAGTTTAGAAAGGTCTCCAACAAACAGATGGCGGACACCACCAAACGGACCATCCGGGAAAACGCCTCCATCAACAGTCAACTCACCAAGATGTCCGACAAGACTATGGACATGCTGCAGGTTAGTTATATTTTTCTATTATTACCTTCGCCAAGAAGGTTATGTTTTCAGTAGAGTTTGTGTATGTGTGTATGTGTGTGTGTTTGTGTGTTGTTTAGCAAGATAACTGGAGAAGCAGTGGATGGATTGAAATGAAACTTGGTAGGTGGGTAGGTCTTCACGAGACCTAGAAATGATTAGATTTTGGGGCCCCTGACGGCTTTCCTAGGTACTGCAGCAGAACTTCCGGTTTTGATATGTCATGACCTAGAAATGCTAGGGTCACGAAATTTGAATGACAGGCTAGGTAACTCTTGTGCTGGGGAAGAAGTGACGTAAGTTTGGAGCCCCTAGCGGCTTGCTCTGGCACTGCAGGAGCATTTGTTTAATAATATTCAAAAGAAGATAAGTCAAGAACCTGTTGACGGATCCTATTTGCACAATCAGGGGGAATCATCTATAACTTGTCAGTCATAAAAATTAACTTGATTTGGCGAAGGTTTGGGATCGTGGAGCTCTAGTTTTTGAAGTGTTTATCTATTTCATCATTCTTCATTTCTGGCATCCATGGCCCATGTTAATAAAAGAAAACATACAAATAGAAATACGCATAATAACAATAGTTTAAAATATGACTATGAGTACAGACGGACCCAGATATTGTAGAAGAATCTGTTGCGGAAGATTACATCGGATCTGAGAACAGATTGGATGGTGTTATTTGAAAGGGCTGTACGAACAGACGAGATATGAAAGAATAACATTGTTTGCCCACGGCCTCATTTGCATGTGCCGTCAATTGCAGCTCTGTACACCCAAAACAATACTTCCGTCCCGGAAGTAACAACATATATGTCGAAACAAACAGGAAAATATCTAGTGTTCAAAATACCAAAACAATCTGACATTATTGAAAAAATAATGGTAGATTTTTTTTTTGTATTTTGAACATATATGTTGTTACTTCCGGGACGGAAGTATTGTTTTGGGTGACATTATTTTTTTATCAAACAGGAAATTGACGAGCTCCGTGCGAAGGAGAAGCACAATCGGCAGCAGAAACAGCTGTTGGAGGCAAACGAGAAGGAACTGGCCAAGAAAATACATTCCAGTCAGAAGGTAACAACTACTGAGTTAGGTTTACTAGGTTAACTATCTATTGACCGTTTGAAATTGTTTCAAAACTACTAGTATGTCATTAAAACGATGTTATGTAAGATTTCACATCGTTGTTTTACACATTTTCTTGCGCAAAAGCCTACCTGGGTTCATATTGACATTTGGGTTCATATTGACATTTATCAGCGTCGTTCCATCGCAAAAACGTGTTGGAAGCTGCCGACGATACCCCAACGAAAACAGCCGTTTGTATACATTCATTTTAGGAGCCTCCTAAAAATACAGCGGGCCTGGCGCAACTTATTCTCGCGCTGCGCTGATGAGTCGCTGGAAACGCGAAATATCGACGCTAATATGTTGAAAGTTATTGAAAATGACAATCTAGATGAGAAAACTTCAACTATTTATACTTCCAGTTTTGGCGCAAAAATCTTACATAATATCGCTTTAAAAGAACAAAATCAAACGGGACTAGTTAGGCAAAAATATCCTGTTATTTGCATCAGGTGATTCGCATGTTGACGGAGAAGTCGAAGCAGACGGAGGCCCTGCTGGCTGAGTTCGAGGCTAGGGAGATGGAGTACCAGGAGATGCAGTCCGAGTCGCACCTCATACGCACGCAGAACGAGGCTATGAAACAAGAGCTGCAGAAAATCAGCCGGGAACTGGACAACAAGGTGGGGAAGGATGGACAGGAAGAGAGAGAAATTAGATGAAAAGAAAGAAATCTGGAGAGAGAAAGGGGCAGGCAAAGAGGGAAAGGAAGAGAAGAAAAAGATGGATGGATGGATGGATAGATGGATGGATGTGTGGATAGATAGATGGATAGATAGATAGATAGATAGATAGATAGATAGATAGATAGATAGATAGATGGATACATAGATAGAAAGATAGATAGATAGATAGATAGATAGATAGATAGATAGATAGATAGATAGATAGATAGATAGATAGATAGATAGATAGATAGATAGATAGATAGATAGATAGATAGATAGATAGATAGATAGATAGATAGATAGAGGAACAAATTCCTTTGACAAGTTGACAAGTATGTCCCTTATTTCAGGAGGAACAGGTCACTGATCTGCAGCAGTCATTGGAAGATGAAACCAAAGCCAAACTCAAACTAGAACAGCTGATCCTGGACACAGCAGCCAGCATGCACAACGCACTGAAGGTGAGCGCAACGTTAGACTGCCACACATATAAAAGGAATGAAAGGAATGCATCACTGCATCAAAGTAAAAGACAAAACAGAAAATGAGAGCCTTGTCTTGTCTTCTGTCTTCATACTTATCTGCCAAAGTCCATCTGTGTTATAGATACATGTTTAAAGTTAAAACTTCCAGTTAAAGCTAAGATCCAACACAATAAAGTTCTCTCACCTAGAGCTTTCGACCAGTCACTCTGGTCTTCCTCAGTAGACTGACCCAGTGAGGCTTGTCACGTGGCTTCTTTGAAGTGTGACGTCAACACTGTGTTAAATGTATCTGGTAGCTAATGTCGTCCCCCGTCGCGGTTGAGTGAAGGGTGGTGGACCCTGATGTATGTAAATAGCCTCTTTCACCCCTCTCAGGAAATAGTCTTGTTCTGTGGCCAATATTCTTACAGTGTCCAGTGAAACAAAATGGTAACCTTCTTACTTATTGAAGTGTTGTACGTTGTTCCTATCTTCAGGGCCCCGCCCCTGACGACCCAGACTTTGAGGCGCTCTTGGAACAGCGGGAGAAGAGAGACGGGATGCTGGAGCAGATCCTCGCCATGTTGAACAGCGCGGCGGCGCTCGGGTTCGGCCCGGCTCCGGGCAGGCTGGGCAAGACGTCAGCAGACACGTTCAGGACCAAGACAAGCTTCCTTCCCGCCGTGGGAATTGGGTTAAAGAAAGGGTTCGTATTCTTCACTCTCTTCTTTTCTTCTAGAAAACTGAGAATTTCGAGAAATTTATGAAAGTTCGTAGAAACTTTCGTAGCTTTAGCATTCAGGGGGACAGAACGTCAACAACTTTCTTTAAAATATTTGACTAACTTAGCTATAGGAAATTACATGCAGATACGAAGTAGAACGAGACCTTTTTTCGATTTCAGAACTGTGTCGATGTCCCCGTTCGCCACTCCCGAGGGTACGGTGGCACACTACCAACTGGGAGACCTCGGGCTGGTGCCGAAGCCTCGGGAGGCCATGATGGCGTCCATGGCGCAGAGTGTAGGCGGGCTGTCGCACACCACCTCCCGCCTGGGCGCCGTGAGGGACCCGCGCAGGGTCAGGTCTGTCGGCGTGCAGACAGCAAGTGCACAGAGGGTACGTAGACGTTTGTGTTCTGCTCTATGCATGAACGTTCATCAGTGTTGGTACAAGTCATTATGAAATAAGACTAAACTTTAACTGCCGACACTACAATGAATTTGGACTCACCCCAAAGACGGGGGGCGAAACAAGTTATCTGGCTACCACGGTCACGTGTCTCTGACGTCACGTTCCGAGAGTGGATGGGTCCGTTCCGTGAACAAGGAATGGATCCGTCAGTGGACAGTGGTCAACATGCCGAAAATGGGCAAAGATGTCTGCTGCCATGCCGGAACGTGGATGGCAGATATATATGAGGAGAGAGGAGACAAGACAAGGCTCTGATTTATTGTTTTGTCTTTTACCGTTGATGCAGTCATGCATTTCATTTCTTTTATATATCATGTTCACTTTTATTTTTCAGTGACAAATGGATGTGGTAATAGTTGGCAGTAAACATAGCACAATATAGGCATCATATCTTGCTTAACAAGGTTTATAATGTCAAAATTTGAAAAAGTAGGAACTTTTTTTTTGGCCAGCCTTGTTTTTTTTCGCTCAATCGCATTAGATTTTGGAGTCTGTGGAGGATGTCACCCATGAGATTTATTTGCTGTGGCCTTTTGTAGATTTTCTATGTCACTTAAACCTTTTCCTTCTTCCCGTCCTCAGGCGATGTTCTTCGCCGACCAGCTGCTCCGATCTCCAGTGAAGGGACTAGACTATCCGGAGAAGATCGCCGAGACGTCTTTTACTCAGCAAAGAAAGAAAGTACGCTGAACGTCTTGAGAATTTACCCCAGATATCATAAAGTCTTGTCTTCGCGTTACATACGTCCAAAGTTTGGATTGTATCTCCATATGCATGTACTAGCATTTTATTCAGAGCGCCGCGTTTTTTTGCATGTTTTTTGCATGCAAATTTGACATGTTGTATATCTCGTTATTGTATAATTGTAAATTTCAGATAGCATTTTAACTTGAAAAAAAAAAGATTATTCCTGGTATTTTCATCGTGGTGCTAGAGAATAGACCGATATGCGCGATCCTGAAGCCCCGCCCACCTCCGTCAAAATGTAGACATGCAAATATTTGATGGACATGCAGCAACTCTCTCATTGGTCGAACCGCTAATTTTGATGGACATTCGGGATCGGTCTATAGAGAAACGACTCAATACTAGTATGTTGTTTCTGTGGTGAATATAAAGATAAGGTTGGTGTCTTCTGGGCTATTTCTGAAAGTGCCAACGTGCCTACACAGAAACAGGTCGTATTCTATAGCAGGACACGGGGATGGTAAAATCTTCCTACGGTGTAATAATTGGTGGCTAGCCTGACTAAATCTGCGCTCCTAGCGGCCGGCCCGGTATTACACCAGCTGCCTCCTGGCCGGCCACTAGGAGCGCAGATTTAGTCAGGCTATTAAATTGGTGGCTATCTTGATAGATGAACAAACGAATAAACAGACATATCATCAAATAACTGCGCTTCTCGTGTTGTTTGAATGTGTTGTTCATTCTGTAGATTTTAGTTAAAGGCTACGCTGATTTTGCGGATGACATCGTATGCACTAAAAACTGATGTGATCGGACTGTAAACTTTAATAGCTAGTAAAACTATTTTCAACCAAACACCCCTGTACTTGCTGATATTGGTATAATCTACCCGCCATGAATGGACGTGCTATTTCGGTAGAGGGCGTGCGTGTACCGTAGGTAGAAGGGACACGTCGCGTTATACTATGATTCAGTAAAGCTAACACACAGCTGAGAAAATAACTTAACTCTCGCTGACAAAACGAGAAAATGTGATACGTTCCTGACACAATATTACATTACTATCAATAGAGTTAGATTAGTATATTATCTCTTTATTGTTATACATTGTATATGAAAGTAGATCAGATCCTTAGAACATGTTAGAAATGTAATCTCTTAGAACTGTTAGATATTGTTAGCATCACCAACTATGTAAATTTTGCCATACGTTGTACCCGTTACATCTGTTGTGCAATAAAGGAAGGCCTGTATGGGGGGGGGGGGCGGGTCCCCGACAACGCTCTTCGCTGAATTCGGAAACCGCTCGATTACGCTTTACGATAAATTCCAAGTGGCTACAACGCATTACGTAGAATTAAAACGGCGAAAACGCTCTATGCAAAATGCGCCAATTACGCTCTACGTTGAATTAGAGCGGTCCGTCTACGCTCTACGTAGAATTACGATTACGCTCTACGGAGAAGGGCATGTGGGCCCCCATAAAGTTCTTCTTCTTCTTCTTCTTGTCCCCCGGGCCGGGCTAGCCTGCTCGGAAGTCGCGGCGTTTTGATCCACTACAAGACGGTAACAAGAACCTCCTGCTATATTCAGACATTTTTAGCTTCTGTGCCCCAATGTCAAAACCAAATGACCTAAAACTCGGTATGGGGAAGCCTAGCTTGGACACATGCCCACAAAACGTCAATCACACATTGTTTTGAGAAACCTGTAGTATAATAAGTTAGGGTTTGTCGTACCACACAACACACCGGAGGAAATACATGTTTCGATGGAAATAACTAGTCTCCACCAGACTTCTTTTGGGATGAATAAATCGTAGAAATCGGCCTAAAAAGGGTATTAATTGGAGAGAGAAGGTAGCATGGAGCTTCTCTGGCCGGCTACCTTCTCTTGCTAATTAATACCCTTTTAGGCCGATTTCTAAGATTTATTCTATTCAGCCCGCAAAAGAAGTCTGGAGGAGACTAGGAAATAACCACAAGAGGATAGATATCGGACTTTTGTCAGCCTCTCAGCCAGTCTGAGATATATGAAAGGATTATACGCTCAAACCTTCATCATAAATGCTCGTCCGGACATGAAGGATTTGCCCGACATACTATGTTTGTCCAAATGAGGGAACATCATTCCTCGTGTAAATTCCTCTCTGAGCCCGCCCCCTAGGGACTGCGTTGATAACTGCACATACAGCTTAGTGGAAAGGGGAGGTTTTTAGAGAGAGTGATTTAGTAAAGACCACCACATCAGGAAACTCCCGTCCGCATCTTTCTTTCAAACTGAATGGTTTTGTTTATTGAAATAATAAGTGCGATCGCCTTGTGACCTTCCAGGATACGTGAAACACTGACGGACATGTAACATATTGTGGAACTAGATGAAACTTGGTGTAAACTGTAAAATAGCATGAGGTAGTATGTCAGGGGAGCTACTAAGGGTGGAACTGGAGCAATAGATCATTTCAAGACGTCTCGCCTCCTGCCAGACATCCAGAAGTTATGAATTGGGGAACACCCATCGTGATTACTGAATTACACTCAACACATGTTGGATTGGAAAGTTGCAAGCTATGGGTCTGGTTAGAACCCTTCGTTACCGTACTCGGCAGTTGTTCTATCTATTTAGTCCTCAGAGCAAGACGGCTTGAAAAGATATACACAGAGCTACTACAGCTGGAAGAAATGGAAAGGTTTTAAAGGGCAGTAGTTTAAAGCAACTTTTCTTAACAGCGCATTCCTGCGGCGGCCTGGGTGGATGTCGTGAGGAGTAGTCGGCCCAGTTTGGTCGCCAGCGCTGTCGGACTTTCTGAGACATGCACCGGGTAGTGGAGAGAAAACGGTCGGGAACTAATTAGAACGCTGACAGAACCCGACACTGTTAGAAAGTGTCCCACTCTGCTGTACATACCGAAGAGGGTAAAAAGCTAAGCCAAGGCGATCCCTGGGTGCTAGTTTGAGATCGAGGTATTCCTGCATTCCTCGCAGTCTTGCCCCCGAGTCAAGGGGCCCTAAAGCCTAAAGAGAACCGGAAAATTCGACTTATTCCAGCCCCGAGTGGTCTCAAGCTCAGAGCGT